AAAAAATGTAGACACTGGACAGACAAAGAAAACAGATGTCCACTCCAGCCCAATAAACCCTAGCAAACCACTGACATTTCATTAAGTGTTACAATCTGAGTTATAGGAAAAATAAATTTGTAGTGATCATAAGATGGACTCCAGGCCCCTTAAAATCTGCCTCCAGGCTAGTTGGCCTCATGCCTGCCACAGACCTCCTTCCCTGCGTACTCTCTGCACTATTCCCCATTTACTGACGACAGCGTGTGCCGAAGTGCCCCTATAATTTTGCTTGATCTCTTTTCTCTGTCTGCAGTGCCTGTGTGCTCCTTCTCTACCTGCTCATGTCCTATTAATCCTTTAAGGTCTGTCTCAAAAGTGACTTCTTCTGAGGCCTCTCTTACCTCAGTCCATCGCCCTCTTTCCCACTCTCCAGGAATCACAGTTCCTCACACCTGTTTTCGTGACACTTAAGCAGGGACAGAATGATGACTTTTCCATATGAGGCTTTAGAGTCAAGCATTTCTGGGACCCAGGATCACTATATACGGATCCTGTAACCTTGGAAAATGTACTTTCATGTGCGAATGAGGCTACTATACTTGCTGCCCAATGCTGCTCATCCCTGCATATAAAGTCTGGTTCATGTGCTCAGTAACTGCTAGTTCTCTTCATTTATTTTCATTTCTGAAAAATTAGAGCATGGCTTACATTATAATCCATCATGTACGTGTTTGTCTCTCATGGTATACTGTGAGCACCTTGAGGTCCGAGACCATTTGGTATTTTTCTCTGCATTTCTGTAGCCTGGAACACTGTCTGGCACATTTGAGCTACCAACAAAATAGTAAAGGAATGAAAGGATAAATCAAACTTTAGTTTCTGAGAGGACAGTGGATTAGACAACTTGAATGATTCTCCTGACAGAAACAAGTAAAATAAAGAATAATTTTTTTTTAATTTATAGAAGTATCACAGAACTGATAATAATAAAAAAAAATCTCCACACCGGCAGTAACCAGGAATCCTGGGAAGTGAGTGCCAAAGCTACTTTTGCCCTGAGGGTTTTTACTGAGCTCTGAATCCCTTGAGCTCCTGTTTGGCCTGCATGGCATTCAGAGTACAGGGGCTATGTCCCAGGGCCTGCCCAAAGCGAGTTTATAATAGGAGGCTCCTGTATAATAGGGACCCCAAAGGGTATGTCCACACTATAAGAACAAACAAGACTGAGCCTATAGTTAACAATACTATATTGTGTACTTATAAATTAGTTAAGGTGGTAGATGCATTGTTATTACCACAATAAAAATATTTTTAACAAAAAAAAAATAGGAGGGAGACATTTCTGACGAGGTGAAAGAGAAAGCACAGAGATAGCATTAATTTAAAAACCATGCCTTAAGATGAGAGGTAGATAGAATTATTTGGAGTGTTGGGGTGGGGTGGTGGGGGGCAGAGGAGGGAAGAGAGGAAAACAAGTTGAAGTGAAGAAAAGAGTTACAGGAAAGTCCTGAATATGGGACTGAATGCCATTTTCATGCAATTGTATAATGTCCATGAAGAGTCACTACAGATTTTGGAATTATACCATGATGAAAACAATCTGAAGAAGATTATCCTGAGTTGTCTGTACATACCTCTAAAGCACAAAGGGAGTTGCTGCATCCATTAATAAGTCTTTGCAATACTTATGATGAGTGGCACAAAATGCTTAGTCAAGGAGAGTAAGTATGAAAACAGGAAAATTTTAAGAAAATAATACAAGTGAGTGTTTTTCTATACTTCTATTCAAGTAGGCCTCTATTGAAAAAACAAAAGTATTGCTTCTTCGAAAAAAAAAATTAGCAAGACATAAATCCTACTGCACAGAAAGAAATTTGCCCTTTTTGACCCTGGTGCTGGGTGAAGGAAAAAAATCTATCATAAGCTGATCCTCATGTGCATCTGCAGTTCAAGTTCACTCTATCTGTATAGTCCAAAAGAAACCCAACTGAATGTAAAGTTCTATCAGCTTGGTAGCCCTCCCAGACATCTGACAGAAGCAAACATAAATCCTCTCTGATGGAAACTATTTTTATCCCAGGTTTCAAATAATTCCCACAAAATGATTTTTTAAAAATTAATAGTTCACAGGCAAAAAAAAAATAACTAAACACACAAGGAAACAAGCCACAGAGAGTAAAAACCAGCAGAACAACAGACAACAGAAACCAACCTGCAAGGTATTACAGATATTGGAATTATAAGACACAAAACATAACTATATTTAATGTTTTTCAAATAAAAGAAAATAGATTTGAAAAAGATTTTAAAAGTCATTGACAAATTGATATAGAAATGCAGTGGATGAATTATACATCTGTTAGGAGTTTGTTGCAATAATTTACGTGAGAGATGATGGTAGCTTGGAGGAGCGTTGAGATGTGTTTGGATTCAGGATGTAATGTGAAAGTAGAGCTGTGGAGTGGAGGTGGGATATGTGAGAGAAAGGAGATAAGGATGTCTTCAAGGTTTTGGACCTGAGCAAATGAAAGGATGGAGTTTCCATTTTTTATTGAGTTGGGTCAGACTTCAGGAAGAGCAAATTTGCAGAGAAATCGTGAGTTTAGTTTGGAACGTAATATGCTTAGACAACCAAATGGAAGTAGTATGAAGGCTGTATCTAGCATTCACCAGAAATAGCTAAGTTAGAGCTGTAAATTTAGGAGTTGTCTGTGTTTTTAAAATGAAGTCACAAACTTTTACATTTGCCTCAGCCAAAAGGAAGGATTAGGAAAGAAAAAAAAATTGTCCTGAACTAAGAATTAAGCAACTGTGGGTTCAGTATCGTTGTTTTGTCTTGGAGAAATTTACTGATAACTCCTTAAGAAAACGCAGGACCTTAGTTTGTCTCTGGGAGCTGACATTCACTGAGACAGTTCAGGCCCATATGCTAATTGACTTTGCATCAGAGGATGAAATCTTGTTGCTTGGTTCATGTAGTGAATAGACACAACTCGATTTGCTTACTGCTTATTTCGCAGGCATATTACTACTTATTTCTGATTACTAGTTCATGTCTGGAAATGATTCTGAATCACCCATAGTCTAAATATTAACCTATGCCAACTGATAAATGGTTTCAGTTCTATGGTTATGACTATATTATATCTCCGTGAAATAAACCAGCATCTGCATTTAACAGGTTAGTTGCTTGGGCAAACAATCCCAATCCATTGTCAGCCTGGCAAACCATCTTCTGAATAATGCCAACTTTAATGAATATTAAACGTTGACATGTGTTCAATCAACATATCTTAAGAAATTGTCATTTAAAAAAAATGCACAAAACTGGCTAAGGTCTTCTAGGTAGATGGAGAAACCTCAGGGCTGCACTCTGGTGGACTTGATCACTTGAGGTCAGGCATTAGAACAGCGGTTCTCAACCTGTAGGTCGCGACCCCCTTGGGGGTCAAATGACCCTTTCACAGGGGTCGCCTAAGACCATCGGAGAACAAAAAGATATTTACATTACGATTCATAACAGTAGCAAAATTACAGTTATAGAGTAACAACGAAAATAATTTGATGGTTGGGGGTCACCACAACATGAGGACCTGTATTAAGGGGTCGCGGCATTAGGAAGGTTGAGAACCGCTGCATTAGAGGAAGAGCAATCATAGAAGAGGGAGGAATTACTAGTTTACTAAGGTATCTAGCATCTTCATAAAAATGTATTAAATCCTTGCCACAATCACATAAGGGCAGGCGTTATTAATCTTTATCTCACCTTCAGAGAATTATAACTGAGCCTCGGCAAGGGGAAGTGGTTTACCAAAGGGTCATATACTCCGAGATTATAATCCAGCTGTGGCACATGTGACCCGCCTTTTCCTCTTCTTGCCTCCACTGCCAGTGGTATGTGTGATGGCACTTATGACAGCAGTTGTTCTCAGGGGGGTTCTCTGTTTTTCTTACAGGTGAGTATGTGGAGGCTTTGGCAGTGACTAAAGAAACACCAGGCCAAGGAGCCTTTAAGCCAAGTTCCAGCTCAGAGGAGATATATGATGATGTTGAGTACCCGGGGAGAGAGGAGTAAGTACACGCCAGCCCGTCAGCAGTGTGGTGAGACTTTAAAGATACAACAGTTAAGTAAGGGTCTTTGTTTTTCTCCCCACAGATCAAAGTCAGAAACCCCTAACTCATTTGCCTCAGATAATGGTACGTAGAGGAAGACATTTCTGAAACTGCCAGTAGGGATTGCTGAGTGCTCTCTGGCTGTTTAGTGATAAATTGTCTTTCATGTATACATACTTTTCATAACACCAGTTGGACGGGGTGATAGCAAGCTAAGGGAAGTGGACTGAGGTATGTGCTAATAAATGCACTTAGAATTGTGAAAGTAAAGAGGAGGGTAATGGGACTCTTGTGGCAAAAAAGCAACTTTACTGTGAAATTCCTTCCTTCCTGATCTCTTCACAATGCAGGTCTGATTATAGGAATGTTTTCACTTAAATCACTTTCATGGCTTCCCAGTACTTTTACAGTTGGCCTTACCATGGTCTAACAACCTTGAGTGGTTTGTCCCTGTTTGTCTCTATGGCCTGTTCACTTATTCTATGGTCAATCTTCATCTGTGATATCCAGTCATGCTGACTTTTCAACTCCTCCGACTTGTCAAGTTCTCACCACAGAGTGTTTGCCTATGCTACTCCCTCTTTCTGGAATTTTCTTTCCTCCCCTGTACCCTTTTGCCTACGTGACTCTTAACCTTTCTTCTGTGCTCAGCTCAATCATTATTCCCTCTATCCCCTCCTCCCCCTGTGAATATTCTCCTTGGTGTACAATCTCAGAGTTTTGTGATCCTCTTTTTCATTGCATTTGTCAAAGTTGTAATTTTATATTTATGTGATTCTTTGATTAATGACTGTCTTCCCTCCTAAATGGTTACCTTCTTTATGCTTACCATTTTCCGTAGCCCCTAGCATAATCCCAGGTACATATTATATATTTTTTTAAATAGTTGTTGAATGAATGAATGAAAATACATTGGAGGCGGAATAATCAAATGCTACTCTGATTGTTGTTATCATTCTTAGAATGTCAGAATTTCAGAATTAAGATGAAGAAACATCTTAGAGATTACTAAACACAGAAACCTTGTTTTAAAATGGAAACTGAGGCACAGAGAAGTGACTCTCCTCCATTCATTGTGTGAGAGTCGTTTTGAACCTGAAAATCCTCCATTGTCAGGGTAGACTCAAAGTATATCTGTGTATATTAAGCTTATGTGTTGGGCTAGGTGAAAACCATGCTATGAAGGGAAAGATTATTCAAAATATATTGATTCTTCATTATTTCTCCAGAATTCAAAATGTCCGATGTTTAGTAGACTCTGATTGTTATATATTAAGTATGCAAAAGGGAGAGGGTGAAGGAAGGAATCTGGTGATAAACCAACTTTCATTGACTAAAACAGATCAGACTTGGAATCGGGGGTGGAAGTAAATATTAATTTTCATTTGTACATACTACTTTTATTGAGGTTTAATTATTTGTACCATATGCTTATACATATATGTGCATGTGTTTCAATAAAAACTACTTAAACAAAAGAAAGATCAAAATACATGAGCACGTGGTAGGTAGCCAATAATTTTTTGTTAAATATGCATCTGAACTACGGTCATTATAATGGATGAAAATAGCTTTTTTTAATTTCAGAAGAAAATAGTGAAGAAATGTATGACGATGTCTACAGAACAACGAGCAACTCCCCAAAGATAGAGTGAGTTTCTCTTTCTTGGCGTCCTAGCTAGTGGTATTTCCTGTTAGTCTAGGAAAACCATTTAAGAAGTGACTCCCCTCCCTGCCCGCACCATTTTTAGGGAGGATTTGCATGGTGAATAGAAATCATTGTAACACTACATCGTAATCCATAGGGTTCTTGTAACTGTGTACAATCATATGCCAAATTTCTAATCACATTGCTTTCTCTTTTGGGAAAATGTCCTTCTCCCAGAGTAGAGGATTTTGGTATTGTATTAGGGAATATGTGAGAAGAAGTAAATGTCACTAAAACTTGCTTCAGTTCTATAGTACTTCTCCAGGAACAAATCAATGGTTTTGATTTACCTGTGTCTTTGTAAGTTAATAAAACTGTGACTGGGATTTGGGCTTAATATCTAAAAATTCAGTGTTATCAAGAATAATATTTGTTCAAGTGGACATTATTTGTCAAATTCAGTTATTAGAGGCACAGTCCAGAAAGGAAAACAGTGATGAAAAGCAAAAAGATTGAGGGTTGAAGGAAAAAGAGGGGCCTCATGCTAAGTGGGATGATGTGGGTGTATCATTCTCTCTCCCAACCCCTCCCCGCAAAAAACCCAAGAGCATATTTGGAAAAATTGTATTCATTAACTGGGCAGTCAATGTACTACCACTGTTGTATTATATCATTCTATAAATTAAAAATCAGTGACATGAATTTCAGGAGCCAGCAATTCCTATAATGTATTTCTAGTATAGTTTGTAAGCTATGCTTCCCTAAGTCATCTTCTCTAAAAGAAAGACTTTGCTCCATAAACTCTGCAGAATAGAGACCATTTTGAGTAGATGAAAGTTTGTACTGAAATATAGTGATTCCCTCTGTGGCAGACTGGTAAGTGCTACTTCATATAGACATCAAAACAAAGAAGAAGAGCACAGAAGTGGGTAAGGCATTTTCCCTCTCTTGTTTGAGTGGGGTGTTTCAGAAATGAGACCTACGCCTCTGATGCCTTTCACTACCACAGCCTTCTACCTCTAGTCCTCTCTCAATTGTCATGTTTATATCCTCTGATTCCTTAGTTTAGATGGAAAAGAAGCACTTAAAAGACTGCAGAGATTCTTCAAAAAAGAAAAGAATAGGTTTAAGATGAAGAAAACGAAGTCAAAAGGAAATATAAGGTAAGAAGTCCCTTTTTATTTCTCTTTGCATGAGAGGATGAGCCGTGCAGGCCTGGTGGTTACACAGCTTGATGTTCTCCATCCTAGTCTCAGAAACAGTGGAGGGGAGGTCAGAAATGAAAACCAAAGGCCCTGGTTATCACCCACCTCCTTCTTACCAATTTTTGAGTGAACCACACCCCCAGACACTAATAAAAAAGTGACAAAGTCCCTTTCGAAAAAAACTGAAAAGAAACGGTTATAAAGAAGGGTAGAGCAAGTCTTAATCAGCCAAAGTCCAGAAAAGAAACTTTCCTCATCATGCTTGGCATATATTCCTGTTATCGCTAAGCATTATGTTATTAATTATTGGGTTGTCAGAAAAGTCATGACACATTTTTGCAACAAAAAACATAGAAAAATATGTCATGACTTTTCCGACAACCCAATATGTCCTTTTATGCTTTCTTTTCCCTACAAGTTTCTGTGGTGTTATTTGTCTATACTTCAGTATTCTAATTTGCCTCCCTTGCGAAAGGCAATGTGTGGAGAGGGGAGACGAACTTTTCAGCTGAATGTCCATGTATCTCACAGTGTTAGGCCTGGAAGGACCCTCCAAGATCAGGCCCACTAATTACCAATGTTTGGGAAGGTTACACTTTCACTGGTAGAAGAGACAGGAGGCCTAGATTTTGGATTCTAGTTTCAGCTCTTGTGTTTATTCAGCATGTCACTGTGAGAAAATCACTTCCCTGTTGCACCCATAAGCCCAAGTTTCCTCTTGCCTTCGATGAGAGGGAGACTGAGTAGTCTCTGGAGGTACTTCTCTCCCTATTCTATTGATATAGGCATATAGACATACATATGAATCTGTATTTTGTGAGGGCAGGGGATGGTAAAGTAATTTGCCCAAGGTCATCACATCTACTGATGTGGAATTATGTTAGTCTACCTTGAAGTTCTTTTCAATTATAAAACCTCAAAGTTCTATGATTTTAAGTCTAATTGTCTGTTGAATATAGATCTACCAAGAGATCCAACAGAATATGGGGTTTATAAATTGCAGTCCTGACCATGGAGGAAGAAGAAGTTTAGCTCCAGGGGTCAGTGACACATCAATGCAGATCCGGGCCTTCGCAGGCTGGATGCTTCTGACAAAAATTACTAGCTTGATACCTACAATCCTTTAAAAAGTGGGTCCATGAGGATGTAAAATACAGCATAGGGAATATAGTCAGTAATATTGTAATAACTACGTATAGTGCCAGGTGGGTACTAGACTAATCGGGGTATCACTTCGTAAATTATATAAACGTCTAACCACTATGCTGTACACCTGAAAGTAATATAAAATAATATTGAATGTCAACTATAATTGGAAAAAAAACAATTTAAAGGAAAAAAAATTGGATCCAGGTGAGAATGCTCTGACTCCAGTGACCACATGTTTCTTGTACTCCATCCTGCATATCACAATCCTGACAGCATCAGTCTGGTCTTATAGACACTAACAGCAGGGGCCATTTAGCATTATCTGTCCCAGGCAACTTCATTTGTGTATGCCCATCTAATACAAAAGTAACTCCATAAGATAGGTGCTGGGATTCATTTTAGAAATGAAGAAACTGAGGCCTCCACAGAGTTAACTGGTTTTCCTGAAAGTGCTGCTCCTTTGGACATTATTATGTTTTTATCACAGAGTGTCGTATTAATTTACTTGTCTTCCTCACTGAATCCCAAACCACTTCAGGACAGGAACTCTGTCTGATCAGTTCGCATACCCAGCACATGAGCCTGGCCCATGGTGAGTGTCTGAAAAATGCCTATAGAGCTGAACTTAAATAATTGCTTAAAATACATGGATTTTTTTTTTCCTACCACCCCGTACTTCCTTCCATGTGATCTCCTTAACTGTGAAATCTGAGGAGAGCCAAACAATCTAGCTGGGCCAAATGTCCTCTCCTATTTAGCAATTTACCGTCTTCCATTTCCACCTGGCCTCGAATTCTCCCCTCGAGTCATCCCCTTGGCTTACGCATATAAATAAGCAGTGTTCAGTATCTGCAGAAGCTTGTTCTCTCTCACCATACTTACCTCACATGGTATGTATCTGATTGACATCTTGGAATGTTAGGAGGCAGAAACAAAATCTTGTGGATGGAGAAGGGCAGGGCTGTGGATAGCCTGGGGTGGTCTGGTGCGGAAAGGGGGTACAGGTGCTCACAAAGAGTAAACACGCTCATTTTTAAAAGGGAAGCGGTGATCAGAACAAAGCTGCAGGGTAAGGTTTGCTTCACGTCTTTGCCTAGAAGCATCTGTATCAAGAAACCTAGTCATCAATCTGTTATTCTGAATATGGCTTTTTTTCCCTTAACCTTTTGTATCTTTTGTCAATCAACAGTGGATTTTCCATTTCGCTGCCTGATTTAGGTAAGTGACATTCACTTATGACTGACACAAAGCTACTCAGTGCTGGCATATTCAGGGGCAGGGAAAGAGTTGTAGTAAGCCTTCCTGCACTCCACATTTAATGAAAAATTGTACATCAAAATCAAAGAAGAAATTTTACACAATAGTATTACTGACTTTTGGGAAGATGAGTAGCTTTTCTCAAGTGCCTACTATATACTAGGCTTAAGTCCCAGAGAAAGAGATGTAATCATCCCTTTTGAGGGAGAGGCTTCAGGCCCCATGTCTCGATCTCGGTGACCTGGGATTTGTACTCGAGTCTCTCTGATTAACGAAGCTCGTGCATTTGACCTTATGCCACACAGCCTGTTGAAGTATTTGACAGCCAGGTCACCCTAATTAAAACATCATTTGAACATGATCACATTGCAGTACACATACTAATTGACTCAAGGGTGGGTCATTGGACTATTGTTTGCTTTGCTATAAAAACAATGCTGTACAAATTAGCACAATGCCTGACACATATTATGCTCTCAGCACTTCAGTAGGTTGACTCTGTCTATAGAAAATGGCCATGTGTTTTGTTGTCTGTTGGCTTTTGTTTATGGGCTCTACCATGGTGGCTACTTTGATTTTACTCTGACTTGGCGATTCAAATGTATAGTATATTCCACAAATATGAGTTTGCTGAACTAAATAACCAATGAAGATTACATGAATCTAGTAAAGATACAGGTTTCCCAAAACGTCTTCGGTCTATGTTGTTGTTTTTTTTAAAAAAAGAGCCAACTTAGAATAGGTATACATTGTGCCCCATCCAAATAGTGTGGGAGTGGAGTCAATGGAATTGTAATAGACATGTATGATATGGGAGGGTTGGGAAGTGAGGTGGTGGATTGGGGGAAGGGGGTGTCACTTTGTGAGGGGTAAAAACTATAACTATTGCATTGTTTTGTATACCTGAAATTAATAAAAAAAAATTAAAAAACAAAAAAAAGCCAACTGAGAATAGGTATGCATTTTGTCCCCATCCAAATTTATGAATAATTGAATATGAATTATGAATGATTATGCCAGGTCTCAAGCTCATTCAGGTGGTGAATCACTTGAACATTATGGAATTTTATGTAGAGCACCAAAGACTGTGACTATCCTAAACTGAACATGTCTAATTATGATTATGTACTAAGTCAGAGTCAATTTTATGCAAGATTATTATAAAAGTAGTTGCCAATGGTTTGAAATAAAAATCATGGGGAAAAAAATCAACACTAATATTCTATTAAACTTTTTTTCCCCTAGGAATTAGGAAAAACTCTCTCACTATTCTAGTAGTATAATATCTTTGTGCAGTTCTAGGTTGATAGAAACCTAGTCTAAAAAATGATCCTTTCTGCAACTCATATTTCTGAAAATCTGCATGAAATCAAATTGATATAAATACATGGGTATGTGTTTTTAAGATATTCAGACATCTGTTTTTTTAATCCCTCAGTTGAATTTCTTCCCAAATGTAGGAACTTTTTGGGTTTTGTTCCTTTCGGCCTATCTGTATTCTATGATCAGATTTTGATAAAAAAGCTTAGTGGTGCACCTGGATAATTGTGTACAATTTGAGGAGCCAGAGATTGTATAAATCATACCTAATAATGGACTATTTTGATCCTATCTCCACCCTAGAATTTAGGTCTCAGGAAGTTATTATCAATGAAGATGTGGACATAAATGAAAAAGAATCAAAGTAAGTCAATTTACCTTATTGTTCATCCCTGCTATTGAACCCATTTCCTGGTGTTTTATTAAATGTGGTCAGAGGGCCATCGTCAGATCCTTGGATACTGGATGAAAAGTTAACTTGTGATAGTCCCCCGACTAAAACAGGAAAACAGTAAATAACATAGATGATCTAACAGTGGTAGGTGATTCAAAAGTCACGGGAGCTTAAGAATCTATGTGTTTCTTATCTTTGAATCTAGACACTTGAAACTTATTTCCACACAACAAACACTTATTTAATAACCTCCTATGTACAAGGCAACATGGATGATAGCTAGCCCTGACGGAACATCAAAGACTAACTAATTACTCTTTTAAAAAAGAACGCGTCCCAAAACTTGATTCCCCTCCTCTACCTACCTCTCTGCCCTTTCCCTCTTAACAGAATGGCTGAAATAAAGGTCTCTTCTGTTCATTCCAAGCTCAGTGCTATTGGGCTTCTGTTCCTATCATACCAGTGATCTTATTTTTGGTAAGGTCACTAACAACTTCTTGGTTAAATCCACTGGATACCTTTAAGATCTTATCTTACTTGGCTTCTCTATAATATCTTAAACTCTTGACTATGCCATCCTTCAAAGGAAAAAAAATATTAACTTTTCCCCACGTTTCTATGCTATCATTATTTTTTCTCAATTTTGGCTGCTGCTCCTCCTGTTTGTCTGTTTTTTTGGGTTTGTGTGCATGTGTGTGAGTTCTAACTCTACCATTCATCTCTTGAAAAAGTATGTGTTTCTCAGATTTTCTATTTCAGTTCTATGCTTCCTTTGTATGTTCCTGAATGATCTTATCCACATCTAGGGTTTTAATTATAATCATTATGGTAATGATATCAAAATTTACATTTAAGGTCAGATCTCTCTCCTCCACCTTAATAAGCCTGCTGAATAATTCTATTTGAAACTCACAATTCCATAATACTTCATAATCTCAACCCTCCCCATCCATTTATGGTCCCTTTCTTCGAATCTCTATGTTGGTGATTATTTCAATAAACACACACTTGCCCAAACCAAAACCCTAGGCATTGTCCTTAACTCCGCCTCCTCTCCTGCCCTGCACCCTCTTCTGTTCCAGTAACTCTCAAAACATCCCCACTTCCCCATCCCTACTGCACACCCACAATACAGGCTCTCATTGTTTCTCAGCTGGATTATTACAACACTTCCCAAATGGCCATCTCATCTCCACTTCAGTGTATTCTCCAAACTTTCTGAAGTGCAAATGTGATCAGCTTAAAAATGTTAAGTAGTTGTCCATCACTCTCAGAATGAAATCCAAACTGCTTAGAAAGGCATAAAATGCATTAATGATCCAGTCCTGGCAAGTTCTCAGCCTCACCTATACTCCCCACTCACCCACCATTCCCATGTTCCATCCATACAATATACTACTTGGAGTTCCTTGAACTCAACAAGCTGTCCAGCATTTTTGGTTTTTGTTTTTTTTAGTTTTGTTGTTAATTTCTTTTTTTTATTAAATTATTTTTTATTATGAAACACACATTTTTTAGAATTAGTTTCAGCTGTACAACACAGTGCAATAATTATACTTTTTACCCCTTGAAGTGACAACCCACCTCCCCCAATCCGCCGCCCCATTTCCCCTCAATATCATACATATCTATTACAAATCCCTTGACTCCACTCCCACACTATACTCTGTAATATTTTCACTGTCCAGCGTTTTGAAAGCTTCTCATTCGTTCCAACTTCACTGATCCATTCAACAAATATTTACTGAACATGCACGATGTGCCAGGCGCTGTGCGAGGTGTTGTTGGATATACAACAGTGAAAACAGATATAATTTATATTCCTGCCTGATTAGAGACAGATAAGAAAACCTAAATTATAATTTCACATTGGAATTTGGTTGTTTGGATATTTTGAAAGAGAGTGGACACAGGGTGTGTGTGTTGGGAGGGGACTGATAGTCATTTTAGAGTGAACTGGGGAAGGCCTCTATAAAAAGGTGAGAACTTAAGAGAAAAAAATGGTTCTAGATGCAAAACTTTGCCATGCTTTTCACCTGGTTATCTATTTTATCTCTCATTATTGAAAACTGAATTCAATTTTACTTTCCCCAGGAAGTCCTCTCTGACCTTATTATTTGGATTAGGTATCCCATTTTATTAGAACATTTTTCTCCTAGTTGTAGTGGTCTTGCTTCTTGCCTGTCTCGTCCTCTAGGTGGGAACTCCCTGAGGAAGGGACTGTGGCTTTCCAATCTATATCATGTGGCCTCATGCCAAAACAAATTTGTTAAATCAGTTAACAAGGGACCTGCTTAAAAAATAATACATGTGGGCCGGCCGAGTGGCGTGATGGTTAAGAACTGGCTTGGGACGCCAGAGGGCCCCGGTTCGGATCCCACATATGAGGGCCAGTGACACTGACCTCTACAGCTAAGATGCTGAACAACAGCTCAACCTGGAGCTGGGCTGCCTTGAGTCACCGGCGACCGGCGTAGGCTGCAGCCCCTGTGGCAGTGGGTTGCCATGGGCTACCGTATGTAGCCAGCAGCCAGCGTGAGCAGCCAGCAGCCAGCGTGAGCGGCCAGCAGCTGCAGTGAGCGGCCGTCCAGAAGCCGGCGACTGATCTGCCTTGCCCAGGAAGAGCACAATGATGGTGCCAACTTGGGCCAGTGAAGCGACGTCCTCCACAACTAGACTGAAGAACAAAACAACAGCAACTTGTCTGTTCCCCTTCCCCCAATTCCCCAGCACTGTTCCCATCCCCCCAATTCCCCAATAAAAAAATCTTTAAAAAAAAAATACATGTGCAAAATAACCTGGAAGCTCAGAATAGGTAGCCATTTCTACTATTTCGGGTTTCAGAAAAGTATCTGTGCCAAGTTGAAGCAGGAAGGATAGGTAACATTTTGTTGAGGGGAGACTGGGGATCAAGAAGAGAGAGAAAGGGAGGGTATGGGGAAGAGGGCAACTGTGCAAATAGAAAACGTGTGTTTGGAAAGTTTGTTGAACCATAAGGCACATGATCAGGAAAGAGGGTGTGACAAGCAGGAGATGTAATTTGTCATGAAATGGAGGAGGGCCCTGGAATATCAAATTGGAGCTAAGAATGAATTCTTTTTCTTAAATATAAATTATATGATATTTGTAAAAATCAAAAGAAAATCAGAAACATATGTAAGTTGTAAAGCATGACAAAACGAATTCTCCTGAACCCATGACTTGACTTCAGAACTAGGACATAACCAAGGCCTCGGCGTCTCTGCCTTATGCACATCCCCTGGCCTATCTCATCGCCATCCCCCCAAGGGAACCATTTTCCTCAACCGTGTGTTTCATTTCCTGTTAAAACAAAAATAGGGTTATCAAACACATGATAAAATATAGTTTCATTTGGGATTTGAATATTATAAAAATGGTATGCTGAATACAGAATTCTGCAACTTCACTCAAATAAAATCCATCCTTTTTTTAACCACTGCAATTCATTCATTTTTACTGTTCTATAATATTCCATTGTATGTATATACCACAGTTTATGTATTCATTATCTTGGTTGGTGGGTATTAGGGTAGTTCCAATTTTTTTGCACTTATAAACAGTACTACTACAAATATTCCTGTCTTCTATGAACATGTGCAAGAATTTTTCTAGGATATATATACACTTAGAAAGGGGAAAGAAATGGAAATTATATAGGGAATTCAAATTCATAAGAAAATGCCAACTTGTTTTCCAGAGTTGTACCAATTCATACTCTCCCGACCTATATAAGGGGAATGAATATTGATCCACATTCTCACTAACACTTAACACAGAAAGAATTCTTAATTTTTGCCAATTTAGTGGGTATAAAATACTATCTCATGTAGTATTAATTTGTATTACATGTCTTACTAACAGTTTTGCTTATTCACCATTAATATGCTTATTCACCATTGTGTCTGTCCTTCTAGAGGAGGCCTGTTCATATCTTTTTGCCTGTGTTTCTATTGGGTTACTGATCTTTTTCTTACTCATTTATAAATAGGAGTGTTTTTTTTGTGCATTCTAGATACTATTCCTTTGTCAGTTATATGTGTTGCAAATATCTTCTCCCACTTTGTAGCTTGCCTTTTCAACTTCATTTCTAGTCTTCAGATGAATAGAAATTCTTAATTTTACTGTGTTTGAATTTATCAATTTACCCTATTGCTTTACCTTTTAAAGAAATCTTCATCCCAAGGTCATATAGTCTCCCATTTTCTTCTAAAAAATGTTAGTTTTGCCTTTTACTCTTAAGCCTTAGAGCTAGCTGGAACTGATTTTTGTATATAAGTGAAGATCTAATTACATTTTCTTCCATAGGAACAAATGTCTTAGCATGGTTAATTAAGTAGTCCCTCTTTTCCCCACTGATCTACAATACCATCTTTGTCATACCATGTTTCTATATATCTGAAAATCTGTTTCCATGCTCTCGAATGTATCCCAGTGTCATTGTAGCTGATATTACATGGTAGTTGATATGTAGTTGATGAAAAAGTAGTTGATATTAGTACATTGAGAAAGTAGTTGTTAGTACCTTGACATATTCTGAGACATGATTTATGCCTAGAATGTGGTCAATTTTTGTAAACATTCCATGTGTACTTTAGAAATATATGACTTCTCTAATTTTTGATACAAGGATCAATTTACATTCTTTAAATCAAGTATGTATTAATTTTCTTAGTAGAATCCTCTAAAGATTTAGGAATTTTTAAATCCTTGATCCATCAACATTTGAAAGAAATAAATGGGCTGAAATCTCACAAAAAGATGGTAGATTTGTCAGTTTCTTTCAAAAGTTCTATCATATTTTTGCTTTATATATTCTGAAGCTCTTTTATTAGTGGCATACAAAATTTAAAATATCTTCTAGTGAACTGAATGTCTCTTTGTTATGTTGTAGCCATCTCTATCCCTAATACTATTAATAATAAAAATACTTATATAGCTCTTACGGTAGGTCAGTCACTGTTTCATGTATTTAGTATGTATTAATTCATTCAATCTTCACAATCCTGTGAGGTAGATACTATTATTGTACAAATTTTATAGAAGAGAGACTGAGGCACAGAAGTTACTTGCCCAAGTTACTACAGCTAATATAGTGTTAGAAACCAGGATTTAAACCCAAGCAATTGGACACCCAGTCCATTTTCTTTACTGATATGTTCTATCTCCTAGCGATTCTCTTTGTCTTCAAGTCTAATTTGCCCAATGTAATATACCTACTGATCTTTCTTTTAGTGTTTCCCTAGAATACATTTTTGATCCTTTATTTTTCTGTTTTCCTTATTTTCATTCACTGTGTCTCATATAAATAGCATAGAGCTGAATCTGGCTTTTTAAAGAATCCAGTATGACAATCTGGTTTATCTCCTTACCTTGTCCTTGACCTAAGGTCAATCTGAAATGTCATGGTGCTGGTACCATTAATAGCATTTTCCTCAGGACAAACTTGCCTTTTGTGCTTGTATGCTGCTTACCTGCCCTCTGTCTGGTTTCAGCTGCTTTAGTGGGGGCTATTAGGGTACTATATGTAGTACTTACTCTACATGTAAAATGTAGCAATTTGTGAAAACAAATTGAAACAAAAAACTTTTCTCCAGGATCGAGTAGTTTTGTGTTGGGAAAGGCCCTTTCAGACTCTTCTTCTGTCCTGCTGCCAAAGAGGAAGTCCAGAGCGCTGAGCAAGACTAGTCCAACCCACCTACAGAACACTTCGGAGGGACGGTCATAAGTAGATACATGTTCGAATATCGTTAGGGTCGCTCAGGTGAAAGGTGATGAAAACGTGTTCTAGGGTGGTGAAAGTAATGGAGAAGATATTTCAGAGGAGAGCTTAAGTGGATTTTATTAAATTGTTAATTCCTCTGGTAGAAACCATATCTTCTTTGTCTTTATTATCCAGCTCCTAATATAGAACTGAAGACACAGTAGGTACGCAAGGAATAGTTTATGAATCAGTCTTATTTATCAAATCACTTAGCCCTATCAAAGTCTGATGTCTTTTTTATGTGATAGAGTAAATCTTCTGTAGTTTGGCCTCAGAAAAACCAATTATTAAAGGCATTTGTAGCAAATAGAACATTGATGGAAAAATAGAAGCATTTGGAATGAGAAGAGAGAGGGAAGATGATCTTTCTCTTGTGAGTTTGGCTAGTTTGCATGTCATGGCTTGATAGGTATTAGATTGAGCAGTAGCCTAAACAGCTCTGGATTAAAATGTTATTAGATAATCCAGACCTCTGTTTTGTTTCATTTCCTTTTGTTCACTGGAGTATCTCCTAGCGAGTCAGCAAGAGAAGGAAGCGAAGAGGGGGATCTTGAAAAGGACACTGGCCCAGCTTCTGCAACATGGCACCAGTGGGACGTGTGGCACACTATCTTACTTTTCTGGACCTTAGTTTCTTAACCTGTGATATGGCAATAACAGTCCTCATCCTGCCAAATTCATTACGCTCTCTAACTGGATCCCTAGAAAAGCTAAAATCAGTTGACAAAGGCACAAATGTTGACCATAATGCTCACATGCCTAGCGTGGATATAAATTGGTATGATCTTTCTGAGAGAATAATTTGGCAATATGTATCTAAAACATCCAGACCCTTTCCTTAACCCAGTAATTTCACTTCAAGCAACTAGCTCTAAAAATAAAGGAAACATAAAAAAAAATACACAGAAATATCTCATGGTTATTTATAAAAATGAGATGTTTAAAACCGCCCAAATATCCAGTAATTTGATAAGTATATTAAAGTGTGGTATTCAACGTAACCATTTAAATATATGCTAAATATATACTGAATAGTTTCCAGTGACATGGAGAAGTACTTGCAATCTGACAACTGAAAAATAGCAGAATGCAAAATTGTATGTATAGTATGATCTCAATTCAGTTTTTAAAAGGGCTTGGAAAATGTTTAGAAGGAAAATCATGTATCTTTGGGAGGTAAAATTATGCTTTTCATCACTTTTGCACTTCTTACAATTTTTTAAATACTCAGAATATATTGCATTAGAATCAATAAAGAAAATAAACTTCTAAGTAGGCATTCGCTTCGCCCATTCCCTGCCCTCACAGTTGTAGCTCCCTCCAAATAGTCTGTGCGCGAGTTCTGTCTGAACACTTGCTGTGTGTCCAGCACTGTGCTGAGCTCATTGGCCACATTGGAATATATGTCTGGATCCCATCTTCTGGGAACATAAAGTGGAGAGAGAAAACGAGTGACCATCAGGCAGTTAAAAAAGAAGTAATTGCTGAGCTCCATGTCATCTACTCCATAGGCAATAGATGTTGACAAAAGGAGGGATTGGAGATCTCCTGACGAGTCCTGGAAGGCTTTTTAAAAACCTTCTCTAAACTGCATCCTTAATGCTGGTCCAATGCTGAGCCCTTGACATTCTGCTGGACGCTTGTGAATATAATCTGAGGGAACAATGGCTCAATGTCTCTGAAAATCTCAAAAATTCCTGTCACGTAATATCTTTGTGGTTATAATTTATCCGCTAAAGAGTTACTGAAGTTCAGATGTGCAGACACCAGCAACATACAAATGGTTGATAGAGTAGGGTCCTGTTTTGCTCATATCAATGATGGATGTATTGGTAACCTTGTCATGCCAGGAAAAAGCACATTTTGAAAGAGCAGGTATGACAAAAGACCATAGACTTTAGAGTCAAATGCACCTGGATTCAAAGCCAGTATTTCTGTGACCATGATAGTTCATGGGTCATCTCTTTCCTCCTTTGTTAAGCTTTATAAACGACTACTTTAAAGGATGGCTGCAATGCTTACTGTGAAAACCAAATGAGTTAACATATGTAAAATGCCCAGCCCAAGACTTGCCACATAAGCGCTCAAAAAGCATTAGTTCTTTCTATAATACTCTCTCCCCTCCCTGAATCCTTTTCTACTAATGCCAAACACTAGTTGGATTATTAGTTTTCTCTCACAGTGAAGATTAGTATTACTTTTCACATTTTAGAGGCAAAGAAACTGAGGCTCAGAAAGGAGAAGTGTGGTTATAAGCAGATTGATCTCTTGCTTCTGATTTCAAATTGGGATCACCCCAGATCAGGGGTCAGAAAACTGGCCCCTTGTTTTTGTAAATCCAGTCACAACAGCAGAGTTGAATGGTTACCACAGAGATGGTATGGCTTGCAAAGCCTAAAATATTTGCTATCTGGCCTTGATCAGGGGTGTCAAACTGGCAGCCCGCAGGCCGTATGCAGCCCTCGAGGTAATTTTTTTGTGGCCCACAATGCTCTGAAATAAAATGAAAATAGAAAAAGAAAAAATTGTTATGAAGAAAATAGCGCTTAGGGGAGATCGAGGCAATACCATACACACAATTCCCTCGTTAACCCTTTAACTACTGAAGACAAGTATACAAAAAATTACCTCGAGGGCCGCATGCGGCCCGTGGGCCACCAGTTTGACACCCCTGCCCTAGATTATCAAAATATACTTCTAGATGACTTTTAAATGTTTTTTTCTAAAATATAATTGCCCAGAAAATACTGAGGGTTCCATACGTGTTTTACTTCAATCTTAATTTACTTGCTCAAAAATATTGTTCTCCTCAGAGATGAAGATAAAGTAAAAACTTGGAAACCCAAGTTTTTAATACCAAAGGGAAAACAAGAGAAAAAAGGTGCTGAAGAATCTGAAAGGTAAGTCCACAGGTGTACGTGCATTACAGTTTATCTGCTGCAGTTTATACCTCTCACTAGCTGTGTAACCTTGGCAAGTCAGTAAATTTGATTTTCAGGTTCCTCTTCTACAAAATGAGAATAATAATACCTTAATTATAGTTCAGTTGAGAGGATTAGAAGAGACAAAGAATATGAAAATGTAAAGATCCAGGCACATTTATTTCATCATCATCACCCCTGCTTTTGGTGGATAGGGAGCGAGGAAGATTTCAAGCCAGCCCTTATCACACGATGAAAAGCTTCCAGTCCTTTTTCAGGCTGGAAGGACTTTTTCCCTATAAGACAGGCCTTAAATAACACACCAGTTTGATCTTAAGTGAAACTTTGAAACAAGACTGGGATCATATGGTAAGACAGATTTCCCTAGAATACAATATAATTCTAATGTTAGAATTACATAAAAGAATGTTTTATCCACTCAAAACCTAATCTTCAGTCATGTGATTTAAGTTCCCAGTGGGCTGTTGGGGAGGTGATTTTTTTACTAAGTCAGATGGTTACTTGAGGCTCAATGCTCCAGTCTTCACCTCAGTTCCTAGATGGGGCAGGATCTTTGAAGTACACTCTTTCACCAAGGTCTTTGGAAATCCTTGTCTAGTCATTGAGCTGGAAACACCGTTTCCAAAGAATAAGACATCAGTCTATAGCATATTTAAACTCAGAGGATGACATAGGATGACCCTTCCCTTAAGTTTATTTTCTTTGGGTTTAAACTTGATGTGACTTATTTTTCCCAAGTTGGAAAGATATTCATGGACTAGAAAAGCACTTCCCACCTTAAACTTCATACTTTTGCATAGCATGGCAACACAGAATTCCAAGATAGGAAATAAGAAAATTTTTTACTGCTCACTGCCCCCTCCCCACCCAAAAAAAAAAGCTGTTTTGGTATTTTAATGACTACATGTAAGTCTTTTTAGGAAACAATTTTCAAGTGCTTTTTTAATTTCTTACAACAAACTGATATATAATAGTTTACTTTTATTCTCAACTGAGTAAATTTGAAAATGCAGTATATTAAGGCTAGTGTTATTCCTGTAGATTGATGTATCAATTTCCATGTGCTCTTAGTTCCCTTTTTGGTTTCTACCATAACTAATTCTATCATAAGTAAAAGATGTTTCCTATATGAGTTCTAGCCTTTTATTACCCCTTCATTAACCAAAGATTCTAAGTGTTCAGAGACATTGGGGAAGGGTATAACAGGTAGAAAGGCACAGATATGATAGCCCACCTTGTAAGATGTCCCATCTAGGCTCTGTATGTAGATGGGAATTAGCAACTGGAAAGGTAGATTGTGGCTAGATTATAAAATGCCCTGCGTACCATGCTAAGGAATATGACTTTATTTTACAGGCAGTAGAGAGAGATCAAAAACTTTAAAGCAAGAGGGTGACATGATCAGTTACATTTTAGAAAGATAACTGGAGACAGGTATGCAGGTGGACTCACAGCGGGAAAGGCAAGAGGGAGACTGTATTTCAAGCAAGTGGTCACAGCCCTGAGATACGGCAGTGGCTGCGATCTTGGACAGAACGAAATAGATATAGGTGACATTTCTGAATAAAACAGGACTTGCTTGACCTGCTCCCCTCTGTCAATTCATAAAACTACTAAAATGCAGCACCAACCCCCACAAAAGAACAGGAGGGGAAAGGGAGGGAGGAAAAGGGAGAAGTCAAAGTACAATCAGCCTCTGCTATGGGGTTATCCACTTTTATGTCCTGAGATTTTGGGGAACCTTTAGTGTCTTAATTCTATCCTCCATAATAATTCAGCATACCAGGCAGTTCTTTGATGGATGCACAGGGATTTCTGATTCCCCAATTAGGTTTGAAAACTTGGAAAACCACAAAACATAAGCCATTTCCTCACTCTTATTGTGTTCCATTGAATCATCTGAGAGCCAATGGGACAATTTATACATTCCCTTAACTTTCTTCTTTAATTATACTTCTACATTTGATTGACAAGTTTCTTGTTTAACTTAAATTGTTCAACGAATTAAATGTTATTCCAAGTTATTATCTTGCTGTCCAAAAAAAATTTTTTAATTGTAGGGGAAAATAATTAGTTTTACTTACTCTGTTCAGGTTGCTTGGACAATCTGCTCTATTGGAAATGTGTGTGTGCATAACAAAATTTATATAAAATTATATACACACACAAAAATTATACCCAAATTTATCCTGAAATAGAATGACTTTATAGATTTGGACACTTACGAGTTTTATTATAGAACATTTAACCCTACATGCATTTTTCCTGCCAGTTTATCTCCTAGAAGTTTCTTCAGAGCCAAGAAGCAAAACTTAGAAAAGAAGAGAATGGAAAGAGAAAAACATTTTAGAGAAAGATTTAAGGTATGTTCTCCTCTGAAGGTAATGATCAACAATATTAGAGGCTAAAAACTTCTGTTTTTAAAGATTCTCTAAGTGTGTTGCAGCTCTGCCTCTCTGGGATTAAGACATGATCTTTGACTCAAAAGCTGGTATTTTTATTTTTCCCTGTTACATTTCTGTATTATCATGCTTTTTGTATATGTTATTTCCTCTGCTTGGAAAAAGTCCTAAGTTGCTCTATTCAAATGTTACCGACTCTTCCCGAACTTCTCCGAGCAGTTACTCCCTCAGCACACGTAAAAAAATCTATTACACACATATCCGTTGAAACACTGATCAGTTGTATAACAATATGTGTGAAAGCATACACATTTGGAACTAAACTTGAGTCTCTTTTGAAGGAGAGATTTTTGTCTCATTTGCTCCCCAGCTCGCAAAATAAAACTGGTCACATAATGTTTGGTGAATGAATGAATCACTAAACAAATAAATGAACAATGATTGAATGAATGAATGAATGAATGAAGCAGCATCTGAAGCTCCTTGACTTCTTATCCTCTTACTGAGTGCATGGAGTACTTTTCACATAATTCCAACGAAAATGAACGATTTAGTTGGAATCAAATGATCCTCCCTTCTGACTTCATCTACTGGCAGAATAAGAATTTATTAATTTAAGAAACATATTGAACACCTCTCATGTGCCAGACACTGGATTGTAACAGATAGTGTGTGCATCCCGCTCAAAAAATTTATCCAAGTCGCTACTCTGCCGAAAATCTTTCAAAAGTTCCCCCTTGCCAAATGGATAAAGTTTAGGCTTCTTAACATGGTATATAAAACTCTTCATGTCATGACCTTTGCTTGTCTCTCTGACTTTATTTCCTGCCATTCTTCACCTTGCACTCTGTGCTTTGGCAACTGCTCATAGTTCTGTCCCTTGAATGAACCTCCACCTCTATCCTTGTCCTGCTATTTCCTTCCTGGAGGCATTTACTTGGTCTGTTCCAAATGCCACCTATGCCTTGCAGCTTTTCTCCATCTGACTTGCTCTTGTTCATGTATCTACACCAAGCTGAGGCATCTTCTCTCCTCCAAGAAGACTTACCCAAACTTGCCGATTAAAGAAATTCCTCTTCCTCTGTATACCTGAGCAAACCTTTAGCTTATGATAAAACATTCACATTATTATAATTACATTTCCATCAATTAAACAATGAGCTCAGAGAGGACAAGGGTTATCTTATTTATCTTCATATCCATGTGCTGCGCAGAATAGGACTACCTAATGCTTTGTAAACATCCAAAAATCTTTTTTAGACTAAACTAAAATAGAAATATACACAAATCCTTCCTAATCACTAATAACTCCTGCTTGGACCAAAGCTGATTAGGATTACTATTAAATTGTACTATGAAATTATCAGCTGCCAACTGTGATGCTATTTACCTAGTTGAAAAACAACACTGCAACAGTTACTTGTGGAAAAGACCCCTCCATTCCACTTAGTGCTTTTTCTCCCCCATTGTATTTGGACTGGCTCATATGGGACAGCAATTCCATTCCTCTGTGTGGATAATTCCATTTTTCCTTCTTATCTGTGGTAGGTTTCTTTGATCTGCCATTAGAAAAAGTATGTCATAACTTTTATTCAGCTCAAATCATAAAATATTGGGTACATTTGTGCCAGGCATTGGATGTGACGAATATAACTGTCATCCATTTTCATTTTAGAAGACAAAATGTTTATTAAATGTTAGGACTGTGTACAAAGTGCAATTGAAACAGTAAATTATACATGACAGTTGTAAAAGTCTTCGTGCAAGGTGATTAAGAGAAAAAAAAGCATATTTCAAGCAGAGAAAATAGCATGAGCAATGGCATGGAAATATGAAAGGGACGTGGTATATTCAGGATTATCATATAGCTTGATGTGGCTCCAATAAAAGGGACAGAAATGTGGGCACGGGGTATGCGAAGGACCTTGAATGTCAAGCGGAGAAATGTGGATCTTATCCTGAAAGCAATGAAGAGGTTTTAGAACTTGATTGAAAGGAGGGTGACCTAATCTGATTTGCATTCTAAGAAATCACTATGTATTCACAGAGAACAATGAATGGCCTGGAAAGGGTAAGAAATCAGTTAGAAGGCTATTACAGTAATGCCTTAGTTTGCGAGCATAATTTGTTCTGGAAACAAACTACTTGTATTGCAAGATATCACTCATTTACCACGTTAAACTGCATTAGAAATGTTTGCTCGTCTTGCGGAACACTTGCAAACCATGTTACTCGCAATCCAAGGTTTTACTGTACTTTGTTAGGCAACGGAAAAAATCTATCTTGTGGATCAGATCCCACTTGGTATAGGGGGATCTTATAATTTAGCATCCGAAGTCAGGACTCTGAGAGCGGAAGGAGGCATACCTAATCATAATAATAAATATTTGTAAATAGTGACATTTAATTAAGGCTATAAATAAGAGACTGTCCTGAGCAAAAGAGATGTTTGGCCACCTATTGGTGAGGTAGGCATCTGTCAATATAAGCTATATGTTCTGGAACTATTTTTTTCCAGTCAACAGACTTCAATTCATTAGATGTATATAGATATATATAGATCAACTAGTTTATCACAAAGAAAAAACTCCCCTGAGGTCAGAAATTGAACTTATCAGTTTTTCACAAATGCCTGTCTTTGACGACAAACGGAGAGTGGGAATTGCCCGCAAACCCTACTTTAAAATATGTGTGCTATAGCTATATATAAGAATATATAAGCCCACCCAGAGAGAAAGGGTAGAGAGTGTCATCTAGAAATGCTAGGTGTGTAAGAATATTGTAAACTCTAAAGCACTTCACAAAGAGGTTTTTCTCTTTCCCTTGTTTTTTAACTTCTCTTTCCCTGGGTTTGGTGGCCATTTTATCACTGGAACAGTTAACATACTGTGCACAGTGTTTAATTTATGCCCATGTTATAGCCTTTTCATTCACCATAATTCATTCTAGTACAATTAGACAATGGGTGTGAAAACACTTTGAAAATATGATCATACAAAACAAATAGAAGATTTGGGCATTTTACCACTATTTCCTTAAATAACTTTACTTTCACTGAATATCTTGCTATTGTTTTCTGTTCTCTTATATGCTATTTCATTACTATCTAGCACCTTGAGTCTATTTTGAGGTTACTATATTATGCCCTCCATTAATTTTGTTATAATGAAAATATAAATACTATGCATAGTCTGATTAGTAGTAATTTCTCATTTCAGTATGACAAAGAGATTACTGTCATCAACACAGCAGTGGCATGTTCCAGTAACTCAAGAAACGGAATATTTGACTTGCCAATAACCCCTGGAGAAGAACTGGAAGTCATTGATATCACTAAAGAAAATCTATTGATATGTCGCAATTCTAAAGGCAAATGTAAGTTATTGGCTTATCACCCATAAACTATCACTGTTTGAAAAAAAATCTCAAAGCATTATCTCTATAACTTTCAGATTAGTAATAGTGACTTTTGTTTCCATAGATGGATATGTGCTAATCGAACATCTAAATTTCAAGTAAGTGGCTTGATTTTATACCTCAAATCATGAATCCTAAATATTTAACACATTGCTGTGTACATTAGTCTTGAGGAAAGACTACTGAATTATTTAAACTCAGGAAAAATTTTGAAAATTAGATATGCACTGCCCTATTCTATAAGGGTTGCTTTGGAAGAGGCCTTATTATTGTCTACTGAGTGCTATCAAACTTCTCTACAGGGCATATTTATAGACATTTTAAAGAAGCATCAAAATATTAAACTGGGTAGGAAATTCCCCAGAAATCTCCTACTCACTATTCCACTGGCCTATAGCTCAAAGTATGTTTTTCTTTTTTCTCAGGCATCAAGGTTGGTCGCCTTAGGAAGATCAACATCATGTGTGTGGATGCACAAGTGAGAACCGGGTCTGAAATCTCACGCCTACCTCCTGTCAGTTTCAGCTTACATGTCAAAATGAGAGGGTGGAATCTGTGGCAACTTTCGTTAGGAACTTAGGAAAGAAAATAAACACAAATCCTCCACATTTAGATGGTTTGACTCCTGAAGAGTTATCTTTCCATGTCTATTTCAGTATCTATTTCACTGCTGGCTCAAGAGAATGTGGAACTGTGTGCTGGCATTTGAGCGCTTGTTTAATGAGCCATATCCAAAGTCAGACATCATGCCTTGTGGCACCCAGTCAAGCTGTACAGATGGTTAGTTTGCTTCTAATATGAGCACACGAGTGCTTATAATTTCTAAAAGATGTGCATGAAAAGTGGGTGTCATTTAATTCTGAGAAGTAACTAGTTAGTGTAACCAAGATCTTTTGAATACTCAAATTTAAAGTATAATCTGAAAATATGAAATAATTACAACTCAGTTTTGTTTTGTTTTTTTAAATCAAGGTATAAGTGTTCTACTTTATCACAAAACCAAAATCAGATTCAAAATGCTGCTTAAAATTGGTTTCTTTTGGGAATGGTATGCTGAAAAGTAATGTATTCCTAAATTCACCCAACATCATTTTAAGAAGTGCCTGAATACATTTAACAAAATTTAAATAATGTATATGCTGTGTCAGTTTAAAACATCCTGTTGTCCAAAACAAGGAAAATAGTTATTATTTTGTCTCTGCCTGAACACCTATTCAAGTAATAGGATTCATATGTATTTTTACTTAGATGAAAGTAAAGAAAAATGTAAAAAGCTGAGCTGTTAATAATGTTCTATTTTTTAAACAATGCACACTGCCTGTTAAGCAGGGTGAGTCTGGCCTTCAAGGGCGTGACGGAATTTAGTCCATGGTCTCATCCCTTATATAGTGAGCCTATTTCTTAAGGTTCTAGGTTCTTGTATCTTCACTTTCATGTTCCAAATGGCACTTGCCAATAAAGGTGATGTTTATTCTAGAAGACAAGAATCAAAAATATTCATAGAGTTTAGAAAGGGAAATAGATATGAATGAAATGCCTAGAAGACTCAGAAAGGTTTTCAGATAAGGGAACACTAATGTTTGGTCTTTAATCACAAGTATATTTGCTATCAAAGACACAGAGGTGTAGAATCCATGTTGTGTCCGGTGAGACATGGCAAGAGCTAGAATGGGGTAAATTGGGGCTAGAATGTGAGAGTTCACTTGGCCATTTTCCTCTACAGAGTGGGGAACCATTCAAAGGTCTTCATCAGGAAGGTAATGCCAGATGCTTAGAGAGAAAAAAAACAAAAACAAAAACAATCATGGCAATATGGGTGATAAATTAGAGAGAGGAGAGACCACTTGTTTTTGCAATATTCTAGGCAAAAGAGCATTAGACCTTAAGACAACAGCAATAAAAATACATAGTACAGGAGCCCCTTTGGAGATATTACAAAAGTAAGGAAACGTCTTCGTGACTGAATAGAGGTGAGAGAGAATTAGGGCATGACTCTTTGAGATTTCTTTTTGGGGTGATTAAGGATGGTACCAAAATTGGGACTATATTTCTGCTTGGATCCCCCTGAATTAAATGTACCTGCTCAGTGATAGGCAGGATAGTCAGGCAACTGCAGCCCTCTCCTACACTCTCAGGCCAGACCTGTCACAATTACTATAGGAGATGAAGATAAGTATGCCCTATGGGCAAGGAGGTAAGTAAGAGAGAGGGCTATTTTTGAACAAAGATCTTCCATGCAATAACCCTGTACAAAAGAGAAATAAACCATATATTACTCTTGCCACCTCACCAAAACATGAAGTATTTTTAATCCTATAGTGGCAGTGGGACTAAATTTGAACTTAAAGATAGATTTGTCCCATGTGCTTTCCATCCTGTGATATGGGCTCTTATTCTAATTCCATGACTCAGCTCTGAGCCTTAGTTTCCTCGTCAATAAAACAGAGCCTATAACTCAGCTTGTCTACGTCACAGGGTTGTTGTCAGGCTGTAATGTAAGAATATAAATAAAAGTGTACTAAAATCCTTAATACACAATATGTATACATGTTGTTATTTTAGTGCCTGGCCTTTTCTGAAGTTGGAAGATGTTGAAAAAAAATGTTTTAAAATTCAAATATTAAGACTTGAAAACAATGGATGGGATGTAATAATGAATTTTACAAAGATATATTTAATAGCATTTTAAAACTGAATATTTTTCTGTTTTTGAAGTATAAGCCATTTGATTTGCTATAACCTAGTACCTAATTTCTATTTATTGATATAGAATATATTTTTAGGAAAAATAATTGCTTTTATCAATTCCATTCATACTCAATGTGATTGTTTCTATTTCACTGTCAGCCACATTTCTTCCATGCTTTAAATCATAGCATTGAAACTAAATTTCTCACACTATTAATCTGCAAGATTCTTTAATGTGAACATTATAATATTATAAGACTTCAGTGATGTCATTAGAAACCCTAATCTAGCACCAAGCTTTAATGGAAAGACTGAGTCGCTATTTTACTTTTAATTTTTCATGAAAGGTATCAGTAAAGATAACATTGTGTCAGATAAAAACATATAAAAGTACTTGAGACTAACAGTGGCCCACGCAAATTCGTTTATAGGCCAACTCACCAGCAACCTGTTACCATGCACTCACTCAACCTTCCCTTCCTCCTTTGAGTAAGTACCTCTGTGAAACACTGGGTCTTCCAAGATGCCATAGCATTCTCTTGACCAGGCTCTGTCCTGCACATCTTCAGAATTTTAAAAACATATTCTAGGGGGAAGAACAGGAAGAGAAAAAAAAATGAATATATAATAACAAATTTCCTAAGAAGTGGTTGTTTCTGGGTAACAAGGTCAGGATGATTTTTTTTTTTAGCTTCTTCAAATTTCCTATACTTTTCAAATTTCCTACAATAAGCCTCCATTAGTCATGCAATTTAGGAAATAAAGGAAAAACATTTCCACTAATAAAAACAAATTTCTTTAAAGTTTAGATAAAGCAAAGTGAAATCTTTACTTACATCTTAACTTTGATGTGTTGTTAATGAGGACTAGAGTATAATGTTTTTCAAAAAGTTGCGTTTAGGTATATAAATATGGAAGGTTATCATTATCAGCAGTACATAGGATCACCTCCATGTTGCTTGTTCTCTATTTTCAGTAGCCATTAGTATAAAAGTCTATCGTTGGCCTGAAGTCTTCTAGGTCTTTCCCTTCCTATTTTGTCTGTGGTAAGCAGAATTTCGGCCTTGGTGATATTCATGCCCTGGTGTTATACCTGTAAATGTGAAATGTGACTTTATAGATAAAATTAAGGTTGCTAACCAGTTGGCCTTAAATAAGATTATCCAGGTGAGCCCTATTGCACAGGCCTTTAAACTCAAAAGAGGAGGGCAGGAGAGTCAGTCAGCTAGTCAGAGAGATGTAGTGGAAAAAGAGGCAGGAAACATTTGAAGCATGAACCCCCTGTTGCTGGCTTTAAAGATGGAGGGCTCTGTGGGCCAGGGAACAAGCATGAACCCCCTGTTGCTGGCTTTGAAGATGGAGGGCTCTGAGGGCCAGGGAATGCTAATGGCCTCTAAAAGCTGCAAACCTAGCCAAGAGCCAGAAACTAAACAGAAACTGTCCCACAGCAGTATGGAACTAAATTCTGCTAACAACTTGAATGAGCCTTAAAACAGATTCTCCCCAAGAGCCCAGCCTTACCAACACTTTCATTTTCAGTCTTCTGTGACTTGAAGCAGAAACACAAGATAAGCCCGGTGAACTTGTGAGTTACAGAACTGTAAGATCATACATTTGTGTTGTTGGAGTGAAGTTAGAATCATGGCAGAGTGGGACAACCCTTTTGTATATCCCCTTCAATCTATAACTAGTAGGACATTTATAACCCAGCAAAGGTTCCTCTGCTCCACCCACCTGAAAGAGCCACACATTGGTACATCTGAAAGTGGGTGTACTGGGATGCAGAGTGGGGAAAGGACAGGGAGAGAGCCCCCCTGCCCTGGCTCTAGCTGCCACGGTGAGCCCACATCCTCAGCAAAGGTGGCAGTGGTGGAGGAGTTGGGGTGAGGAGGCCCCCCCACCACAGCCTGGCAGAAGGTAAGAGGGGCATCAGGGGCATCAATACCCAAGAATCCAGCTCCCTCCCATGGACTGTGGTGGTGCTTGTACCACCGGAGAGCCTGGTAGCAACAGAGGAGACAGGTCTTCAGCGTCCAGATCACAGCACCACAGTGCCAGCAGCCATAGGGAGCCAGGTGGCAGTATGGCAGGCTCACAGACCTGGCAGTGCCCACACCTGCCACCTCCTCCGCCATGGGAGTGGTGACCCAAGGCCCAGTAAACCTGGACACAGCAGAGCACCCACCACCCTGGCCACCCAGGCAGCAACTCCCACAACCATGGGAACACCCACACACACACACTGCAAAGATGCCAACAGCAGTGGGGCACCAGAGATCAGGAAGGCACAAGTAGTATGCAGGTAAGAGAAAATCAAAACTTACATTACAAGCACCACCTATTGGGGGTGGGGGAGAGCTTTAATTACCATCCTGTTGAATTGTTAAAATGAAAATGCAAAAATGCAAACAAAATACTAGCAAACTGAATCCAGCAATGCATTAAAAAGATCATACACGGGGCAGCCGAGTGGCTCATTGGTTAAAAGTTGGCTGGGAGCACGAGCTCTGAGCAGCAGGGCTGCCGGATCGGATCCCATATCGGATCCCATATGTAGAGTGACACTGCGCCCTCTACAGCTAAGATGGTGAACAACAGCTCGACCTGGAGCTGGACTGCCGTGAGTCTCCGGTGACGGTGTAGGCTGCAATGGGGCTGCAGTGGGCTGCCATAAGCTACCGTGAGTGGCAGGCAGCCAGTGTGAGCGGCCGGCAGCCGGCATGAGCTGCCATGAGCTGCTGCGAGCTGGCGTGAGCTACCGTGAGCCACCATGAATGGCCGTCCAATGGCCAGTGACTGATCTGCCTCAGCCAGGAAGAGCGCAATGATCACAATACCAACATGGGACATTGAATCGACATCCTCCACAACTAGATTGAAGAACAAAAGGACAGCAACTTGTCTGTTCCCCTTCCCCAATTCCC